ACCTTTCCGAGCACCTTGCCGCGGCAGTAGCGCTTCCCCGTCGTGGGGTCGGTAATAATCCGGGAGACCTCGGCGGCGGGGTGGCCGTGCTGGTGCGGCTCCTCTGCCTTCTTCCTTCGCGACTCGCCGCCAGCCGCCCTGCCCGCCGCTGCCTCGCAGCACTTGGCACCGCCGCCGCCCGGCGTGTGCGCGATAGTCCGTAGCAGCTCCATCACCGCGCCTCGCCTCCGTCCGTCCTGCCTGTCCGTCTGCTTCTACCCTGCTTCACCCGCCGTGCCCTTCCCACCGCTCTCTGCCGTTTTCCTATAAACCCGCACCGCTCCCCCACCGCTCCGCTCACAACTGAGCGCAATTCCCCGGCTCGCCTTTATAAAGCGGGTGGCGGCTCCGCCCCGGTGCTGCAGGACGGCCCCCTCTGGGGCTCCGCTCCGCCCGCTCGGCTCGGCGGCCCGCCCCCGGGACGGCCCGAGGAGAGTGGGGCCAGAGCGGGCTGTCGTGCTTTGCCTTCTCTTCCCCAGCCGTACAGCAGGAGTGGAGCGCTGTAGCTGGCAGGAGCTCTTGTCCCCTTGCAGCTGCGGAGGCTCCTTTGACCACGGCCGTCCCGGAAGGGGAGCTGGGCAAGGGGAGCTACATCACAAGTTGTGTTTTTCTTCACTGGAGGATTGCACCGTGCGGGAGTTGGTGATGGGCGACCCGAGCTGTGGCCTGCAGGAGCAGCACCCTACCGCGTGCAGCGTGTTGCTGCACGTGAGGAGGGGAAGGAGTTTTTCCCACCTGTGCCAAAGCAGCTCCATCACAGCAGAGAGACGGGGCCAGCATGGAGCTGAGGCCCATGGACTTGCTTGGACGATGCAAGTGATTGGGGCACATGCCACAGGGGCTATCGTGTCCCTCCTTTAGCAAGGAGAACCCATGCCTAGGGACACTCCCTCCCACCCCCCCCCACCTCTCTGACAACAGTCAGGTCTAAAATCTTCATAAGCAGAAACATCTCAAATGCAAATCAAGTTTGAGGATACCTGAAGACAATTGCAGTACTAGACCTCTGATCTAGGTGTTTGCATACAGACAACTGTTGAAGAGTGAAGTGTGTGTCTGGGAGAAAAAGTAATGAAATGTGAAACAGTCTTGTGTTTCTCCATTCTGGAGAGGCAAAAATGCTGGAATTCATTGCTTTCTTTGTGTGTTACGCATTTCTGAAGTAGTATTTGCTTTTTAGCATGCACTAAGAACTTCTACCTACTTTCATTGTTGGTAAAAGTCAAAGACTAGTTGATTTATTAGGAATGACTCTCAGAACATATAAGTGTATAAATTATTTGAGTGTCGGTCTCTGAAAAACCCTAATTTCAGATCTTAAAAGAACAGAAAAATATACTTATTTTACAGTGTCAACATCAGGATGCATGCCTTATCAGAACACACACACTCCCCCCAGCCAAAACCAGCAAAAGACTGAATAGCAGTGTTTGATTCCCTCTACTGGTATTGCAGTATGAAGGTGACAGTGCTCAAGGGTTAAATATACCAAACTGCGTACACTCTACTTCTACCCATCTGCAGTCTTTTACTGCTCATGTGCTTCTGCATTCAAGTATCTTCCTGTCTCACTCTGCAAAGTCTAGTCAAGTTATATTAGTATAACCAGTGATTAGCCATTGGGGTAGAGGTAAAAATAATAAGAACATAAAATTAGGATACACAGACACTGCTCAGTCCTGTCCCCCCTCACTCCTTAGCCTTACAAACATTGACTTCCTAGACAAATGTTTTTTTCCCTTACGCATCTTTAAGTTTTTCCAAATTAGTACCAGTCATTGCAAAATAAGTTACTTAATGTAAACATGATTTCTCGATGCTTTGTTTACTGTCAGTACGTTCCAACAGAAAAGCTTATAGGGAGAGTGGAAAATAAGCAGAATAGAAGGACAAGTTTTCCCTCCGCTGGAAAGAAGTGGTATTGCACATGGTAAAAAGTAAATGTAAGAAAAACAAGCTTTGTCTGGTAAAGGTTTACAAAAAATTGTTAAGCTTGACTTTAAGAGGACACAAGCACTTGGTTAAAGCTAAGTATACCAAGTGTTCTGCTAAGCAGGAGTGGGACTATTTGTTCTCACCTACATTATGTTCTCACCTACTATTTGTTCTCACCTACTTTGCTGAAGCAAAGTCTCTAAGCCATGTTCCCTTTGAGTTACAAGAGGCTGCCAGACTGCCCCATGCAACAGTTACTCTGAGATTACTTCTCCCACTTTTGCATAGGGAGCATATATTTATTTCAAAATGCCAAGGTTAGGATACCGTTTATTGTGAGGTTTTACAAAGCAAACTTTTTTTCTTCTACAGGTGATCTCTTGGATAAAATAACAGTACTGTAAAGGCTTGAAAATGACCCTTTTAAGTCTTCCAAGGGAAAGCTATTCTAGTCAGTGCTCTGTAATATCACACTTTTTCTTCCAAGTTACATTAACAAAGTGCTGAAGCTTACCTGCAGAATGCAGAAGCAGCTCATCTCTAAGCTAGCTAAGACAGCAGAAGGTCTATAGCCAAATCAGCATGCACCAATGCAGCTACCCTGCCAAGAAACAGGGCAAGCCTAGCCCAAAATTCAGCTTCAGGCATATGTTCTGTCTCTGTCTCCAGATGAAAATAATCACTTAACCCTACCGCTTCATTTTGACACAAGTGTACAGCTTTTCATAAAAGCCTTATTATTGAGGGTCTGGGAAGCCTGGGTGTGCATAAATCCCTGATTTAGGTGAGGAATGGCAATTTGACAGAATCATAAGCTGCTTAATTACAGGCTTGTGGGAAGAAAGTCTTGGCAGGAACCACATTTTCTTACCCTAACATAGGGAAAGTATGCTAGTTCAAAGATGTAGATCTCCAAAAAGAAGTGCATTAAATCCTAGATGTCCAACTCCCTGCATACTACAGAGGCTTGGCACTGTGTTCATGGCCATGATTTTGCCAGGGCTTTATGTGAAATCAGGATCAACACCATCTACCTGGCTTCCAGACTGACTCTCAGCTGACCTTCCTGAATATTTGGTGCAATGAATATGCTTTTCCCTCCCCAGTATGCCAATCTGAGCCAATTCACTATGCTTCTACAGGTATACACAGCAATAACCCTGCAGTCCATAATGGGCTCAGGTGTCAGTCCACACAGGTTTGGCAGGCAGCCCTGACCTTTTACCTGGCTGACCTCATCCTTTGCTTTCTGCTATCAGAACATCTCTCTCCTGCTTCCTGTTAGCTTTTGATAGTACTCTGTTTTTCATTTAGCTGATCATGGAGTGCCCTTAGTTGCTGAAGTGATGTTAGTTTGTCCAAAAAGAAGCATATTCTACTTAGAGATGGGACAGACTAATGGGTTCCCCAAATAGCATCTCACTATAATATGTGTCAATGTATATGGGTGATAAAAAATAAGAAGCTTACTTCTAGAACATCAGCCTACAGAAACTGTGTTATGAAAAGTGTGGCTTTTACACAAAGTGTCTCATGATCTTTAGTGACTTGTCTTGAGAAACTGTTGGTAATCTTATTGTGCTTTAGATATTGACTAAGTTTCATTTCTCCCCTTGGCTTCTTCCCTGACTTTTCCTCTTCATTTCCACTTCCCCACCAGTCTTTTCTCACCACCCAACGTGGATCTGTACTTTCTCTGTTTTTGTTTTCCACATTTTCCATGTTCTCCTGTGTTTCCCTGTGTTTCCAGTAAAGTACTGGAAACACATAGTCATCCTTAACAAAAAAAGTATAATGCACATAAAAGCTGGACTAGATATAGAACTAAACATTTGCTCTGATGCTGCCATGCAGTTTCAGTGTGTCACTTCCCTTGTGGGATTTTATTGTCATAGATTGTCCTTATACACAGGCATGATACCATTTGTTCTCCCTAAATCATTGCAGAGCTAATGCGAAGCAGTTGTTTCTGCAATAATTCATGTATTTTAATTTCCTTTGATTGAAGCTTGGTGAACTTTCCAAAGACATAAATTCTTTTGCAGTTTCATTTGAAGTGATCTACTAATTAAAAAACAGGCAGATTACCAAGAGCTTAAGGCAATCATATGTTTTCCCAGAAAGATCTCCAAAAAAAAGAAGAGGATGCCTAGCCCAGTGGTCACATAGGCTGTGCCAGCTTTTGGTTCCTTCTGGAGTGATGTCAAGGTCTGTTCCAACCCTGCCTATCTGGTATGGGTTTCCTGGGGTAGGAAGGCAGGGTTGCACTTGTGGTAGTTATTGATCCTGTATTAGGTCCCCAAAGACCCAAAACTCAATTTCCTGGATTTTAATGTGTACTTACACACTTGGAATTGATGGATGGCTCTGAAATGTGTTTCCCCAGTGCAATGATAGTGTATGGAAAATAATATAGCTCCAGTCAAGTGTCAGTGTCAAGTGAAGACAGTGTCAGAGAGACTCAGTTTTGTCTTATCACTCACTACTCTCACACTCCTTTCCTGTGCTTCTTGGGTTGAGTAATGTCTCACAGCTTTATTTCAGGCAGTAGCCCCTGCACTCAGAAAGTGCAGTCACACGTTCATACAGCACCTGCTTCTAAAAGTGAAGTCAGACCACAGGTTTGCACATTGTGTTATTTTTCTCATTTTGTTTTTTCATAGCTTGACTTGTTTTTCTTTCATATGCCAAAACAAAGGTTATACTAACCTCAAAGTGAAGAGTACTGCAAAAGTAAAGACTCTAAAGCCTTTCCCTTTACCTTTAAAATTGACAATGTGTTTGCACAGAGAGTACTGTCAGATACGTAATTTCCTTCAATGAAAATCTCTATGGCCTCTACTTGCCCCATTGCAATGCACTGAGGAGAAAAAAGAGTAACAATTGTATTAACTATCCATAAGAAACAGTTAAACCTTCACATGCAAATACTTCATATAGTGTCCTGTAGGAACCACAATTACTCTGCCTCTGCCTGCAATGTGACTGCTCCTAAGTGCTCACTTAGTCAAAGAGCATCTGTCCACAAGATATTTAGGGAGATATCCTGGTACCACCCGATCTGCCAGAAGCAGCTTTTTCCAGATTCTGCCACTGCTTCTGGTGATTTTTGGTATTCTGTTTAAGGTGGTTGGAACTTTGTGAGACCGACTTGAGACACCGTGTGCCAGTGATATAGTTGTTATGTCCAGAACTAGCCTGCCTCCCACATAAATGACTGCTAGACCCATTATGCAACTGCATCAGTCATGTAGAAGGAACAAAGATCTGTGTGATGGTTAAGCATCATGCCCAGTATCAGAGACACTTAGCTTCAAACCTGAGGAACAATCATAGTGTTTTGTACGCCAAAAGAACTGTCTAGCTTCTTTTGCGGGTTTTTAATTTTTGTTAGTTTGGTTTTGGTTTGGTTTGTTTTTTCTTTATTTAGCCTTTCTAAATGGCCATATAAATGCCCTCACATATAAACCTCTTTGTTAAAGGGAGCAGTGCCAAAGGGTAGTCAAAATCCTCTAAACAGAACAAAGAAGTCAGTACTTCAGTCAGCATGTTTCCCTTCCTGCTGTGGGAAATAATTAAGACGGTTTTATTACAAGCAGGGGCTACCTTGTGCCGGGGCACCTGGGGGCAATTTTGTTTAAAGGACTGGGGAGCCATTTTGTGGTTGGGGACTGGTGGACTGCTTGTGGTTCTGCTTGAAGTTGCTTATTGCTGCTGCCTACCTGCTACACATAGTTCTGCTTGAGGTTACCTATTGCTGCTAATTGTTGCCTACTGCTGCTTATAGTTCTGCCTGCTTACTGCTACTTATTGTTACTTACAGTTCTGCTTGCTTACTGCTACAGTGGGAAGGAAAGCCAGGAAGAATATAAGGTGGTGAGACCAGCCTGGGCTCCCTGTCAGGGAACCATGCAGCCAGCGGCAGGGAAACAACCTGATAGGTGGATGAGGACAACCAATGAACCGCACCAGAAGGCAAAGATCACCTTTTAAAGAAGAAAAGAGAGAGGCCCGGCATGGGAGGAGCGAGGGAGTGCTTATGCAAATCGAAGGGTTTTAAAAGGGCTCATCCCTCCCATTTGGGGTGTGCTCGAACCAAGTCCTGAGTTAGGTGCACCCAGCACACTGTTAATAAAGTTCTTTGTTTCACTCTATTTGGCCGTCTCTGAAATTTTAATTGGAGGTATTTCTCACACTGCTCTTCTTTCCCCCGTCCATTTTCAGTCTTCAGCTACTGCAGGAACAGAGCAGGAAGGTTTCCTACTGCCTAGGTTAAGTGCTTATTTTCTTTCTGTGGATGGGAGTGTAGTTTCCTGAATCTTCTGAGCAGAAGTCAGTTTTAATGGTGCTCTGATAACAGACAATGCAGGAACAGAGTTATGAGATATATGATGCTCATGTTAAAAGGTTATCTATCTCCATTACACTCCTGTAGGAAATGAAGAAGATGGTTTTATTACAAGCAGGGGTTTCCATGGTTGCCTTGTGCCGAGATACCTGGAGGTCATTGGATCTGGGGAGTTGGGGAGCCATTTTGTGCCTGAGGACTGGTGGGCTGCTTACTGTTCTGCTTACAAGGTTGCTTACAGTTACTTACTGTTACTTACAGTGTGAAGGTGTGTGGTAGTTTTAGACTGAGCCTTCCTTGGTGACCAGTTTGTAACCAAGGAAGTGGCCATATTACCCAGTATTCCCTACAATTTTTACGTAAGCTGGGGTATAAAGAGGAAGGGAGGAGAGGCCTTCGCCCTCTTCCCTTCCGGTGGCTCTGGAGGTGTGGGTTGCCTGCTGTCAGTTCTGCCGTGTTGGGGAGTGAGGCCTGGTGAGGCCTTGTCAACCTTGGGACGTGGAGGTTGCCAGCAGTCGTTCCAGCACGATTTCTGTTGTCCCAAGAAGAGTAGTAAGATATTCTTGTGCTAATTCTTTAGTTACTAGATCTTGAGTTATTGATCGTGTATATTTTATTTTGTTTTGTGTTCCCTTTTTCCTTCCCCCCTTCCCTTTCCCTTTTTCCTTGGAATTGTACATAGTGTTTCAACTGTATATAACTGTATATAACGTAAATACATTTATTTTCATATAAGTTTGGCTAGTCTGGATTTTTCATAGTTTTTTTCCTTAGCTCTTTGCCTGAGGTATCTTTTTGTGTTGGATCTGGGGAGTTGGGGGGGAGCCAAGTAAAACTTAGACAAGGTGGGCCAGAAAGTATGTAAGGCAGTAAGGCAAGTCCAGGCTCACTGCCAAGGGACCATGCAGCCAGGGGCAGGGAAACAACTTGATAGGTTTGTTAAAATAACCAATGGACTGCAAGAAGAAGATTATATCACCTTTTAAGGAAGAAAAGAGTGAGGCTTGGCATGGGAGGAGTGAGGGAGTGGTTGTGTAAATCAAAGGGTCTTAAAAGGGCTCGCCCCTCTCATTCGGTGTGTGCTCAGACCTGGTCACGAGTCTGGTGCACCCAGCACGCTGTTAATAAAGTTCTTTGTTTCAATTTATTTGACCATCTCTGAAATTTTAATCAGAGATATTTCTCACACTCCTTTCTGTCAAGAGCAACTGTATCTGGTTTTCATACACATACTGCCAGTAATTAGACATGCATAGGCCAGTTCTGACTATGTATTATAAACATGAAGCACAAAAGAAGAGAGCAAGTATTTAGGAGATTGAAAGCATTTGTTGTCTTGTGTTCTGTAATTAACCATGATTGTAGAACAAAACAGCTACAAAGAAATAAATGTTCTGGCAAACAGAAGTACAGATCATTATTCCTAATCCTCAATAATTGCAACTAATGTTCAAACTAAGCACGACAATTATGCATATCTTAAGCATGTTTAGATTTAGAGGAACCCTGGGGAGTTAGAGTTGAAGATAGGAGAGTATGTGGTCTACAGAAAACTGAGTTACTGAGGAATTAGGTATAAGCCAGGACTTCCTTTCAGTGCTGTAGGTACAACAGAAGCTCATTGCTACCAAAGCAAGATGTGCCAGAAGCAACCCTGATTAGAGCAGAAGAGAGAGTCTGCTGAGGGAAGGAAAGTGTGCTGAAAGCTGCTGCTATCAAAGGCAAGTGAAGCAACCACCTCATCTATGAAAGAGGGGCATCCTGTGCTCTTTTGCTCATTGAGATTAGATTAAACCCAGTTAACATTTATTATCTTTCCTAGATTCTTTTCTATGCTCAATCATCATGGCTAGGCTTCGCAAATGAAGATTTGGGAAGGGCTCTACCCATGTTTGTTACAAGCACGTTGGTGGCTAAAAAGGCCAATACGAGACAGGCATGTCCGATTGCAAAAGGCACAGCAGAAAGACTCCTTAGGTGGTATATTCTACAAGGCACGATCCTTTCTGCGTTGCCTTTTCTCCTCAAGGGTGATCCTGCGTGCTTTCTCAAAAGCATTAGCAGCGTTATAGATGGTGTGTCTCCAGACCTCCCAGTTGGAGGCCAGAGTAGACCAGTTATGTTGATCAATATGGCCAAGGCTGAGATGTTGTTTCAGGGAGTCCTTGTATCTTTTCTTTGGGGCTCCTTTCTTGCGGCAGCCGGTGGCAAGTTCACCATAAAGCAGGATCTTAGGGAGGTGGTGATCCTTAACATCAAAACAGTAGGATTAAAAAGAACACATAGAAAAGACTTAACTGCATATGTTACTATCAAAGTCGCTGTTCATCAGACTTGACATGACAGAGGCATGTGTTCAGAGATTCTGGGGAAAGCTGAGAACCAGACTTTTCAACAAGGTTTTTTTCTGTCTGACATAAATTAGAAGGGTTTTTTTAACCCTAAGAAGTGTTTCTTACCTTGTTTTATTCATAGGTCACTACCATTTTTCCAGGTAAGAGTACTTTCTACATTTATGTAAATATTTAAAACTGACTGGCACTACATTTAGTTTAATAGAGTTACACTTGTCCTGACTGCTAATCTGAAGAGTTGATGCATGTCATTACTAAAGCTAGTGTACCAAGTAAAAACAGATCACAGGCAAAAAATGGCCTCTAAGAAAACTAAAGGTATCTAGGAAACAGAGACATATAAAATCTGGTCTGCTGGCCTCTTTAAGAATAGAAATGAAAGCAGGTGGTAGATAAGACAGGATAGATAAAAGAAAAGATGAGCAAAAGGATGCCTTAAATAGATAATTGTGAAAGTGAAAATCCACACTAGATTTTTTTTCCAGCAACTCACTTTTATCCTTTTATTCTAGCATCCTTCTCTGATTAAAGCTATTTTTAATGACAGCCACCCAGAGAAGGTAGGTAGGCCAGTACTGTAGTTTTCTTATCCTGAGTTTCGCAGCATGGTCCATCAGTGACCATAGATCTTAAGCAGTTATTGGACATCTGCTTTTTAAACTAGGGAAGCCAGTACCTTGAATGAAGCTACTCATCAGGGCAAAATAAAAAAGCAGGGGAATGTGTTTGACAAGTGCAAACAAAACCAGAACTATGACAAAAAAACCTTCTGGCAAAATGATAAATGCACTAGCCAGAAGAGTAAATGTTGCCCTCTGAACATGGAATGTCTGCCTGGGTGCAGTCACTGCCCCCCCAGACTGGACACACACTGAGAAGTGAAAAATCTATATGCCTCTGAGCACCATAGCAGATGCTTTTCTGCACATCTGTGCTAAGAGAAGAGAGTCAGGAGTACCCAAAGTGATCACAAGAATTTGGTTACACAGCTACAGACTAACCCAGGAATTTTGTCCAGTATAAAGGGAACATTTGGGGATAATTTTAGTTCTATTTCAAATTGATGTTTTAAGCAGGTTTGGGTTGTGAGTTCTCAGTTGTCCTTTATTGTTTTGTATTACTTGACATGAGGCAGTTGTTTTCAATATAGAGAGCAGTTCCTATTGGCTCAGATCAACTACAGTATTATGTAACAAGTACACCACACTTTCATGTCTAAAGTGCCCAGATAAAAGCAAAATAATGAAGAAAGATAAGACTCAACAGAACTTACAACAAGGTAAAAACGTGAACATAAATAGTTATTGCAGCTCTGCAATGCAAAGAGGAGTTGTAGCACTGGGAAAAGGGGGAGCCTAGGAAAGGAAGTAAAACACTGCAAATACAAGTTTAGCAACAGCCTACAACATGGATTATTGGACTTTTGAGATGAGGCTGAGCTAATTTTAGGTCTCATTTCAAGTAAAGCAGAGCACTTCTTTCAGTGAAAGAGTAGCAGTGACCTTCACAGTGAACTGTGAGGTTTCTCCTATAAAAGTCTTCATTTAGCTTTAGAAGTTTCTGCTTCTATTTTAGACTTCCAGAAGGGCTGGTGTGCTGAAAGAACTGTCTCTTTTTTTAGATACATCAACTCAAATATATGAAAAATATTACCTCTCCCTTGCCTGGTTTATATATTTCAATTCTCATGGCAGAGAATTCGTAGTTAAATAACTAAGTTACTGTTAGCCTTAAATTACAGATTTAAGATTAGTAGAATCAGCAGACTCCTGACTTTAAGAGACATGGACAGTTTTCACTCATCTGTCAAGCAGTGAAAAGGACTGATGGTTAGCATTCCAAATAATACCCACTTGGTAAGTAAAATGTATGAAGGAAATTCTCCAGTACTAACTTGCACAAAATATACCTATTTTTAAAAATTAGAACTTATTTTTCCTGTCCTTTGGCTCCTTGGTGATGGTATTTCTGGTTAGAAGTAAAGTGCTTAAGGAAACATGGCTGCTTCTAGAAAAGCAATACTGATTGAGAGAAGCAGAAATCTCCTGCCCTTTCAGCAGTAAGACAGGCTGTTCACACTTGTATGTGGTTTGCAAGAAAACAGGAAAAGGTCACCTAAGTAGAAAACAATGTGGTGAGTGTTATTTTTTAACTATCTTAGAGTGCTTTAAAAAGTGCCTTTATGGTTGGAACAAATGTTTTCAAACCCCGTGCATCACTACAGGTCTGGGGAGGAGTGGCTTGAGAGCTGTTCAGCAGAAAGGGACTTGGTGGTGGTGGCTGACAGCTAGCTGAATATGAACCGGTGTGCCCAGGTGGCCAAGAAGGCCAATGGCATCTTGGCCTGTACCAAGAATAGTGTGGCCATCAAGATTAGGGTAGTAGTCATCACCCTGTACTTGGCACTGGCAAGGCCTCACCTCGACCACTGTGTTCAGTTTTGAGCCCCCCA